GGCAGAGGGTCTTCCAGCAGGGCGCAAAGCCCAGAGCCTGCAGGGAGACCCCGACACCCATCGCAGGGGGGGGTGGGGGTAGGGGGGGGACCCCCCGGCGCCGTGCAGGGACGGCGGGCGCTCACCCGGATGAACTGCTGGAAGCGCTTGTCGCGGGCAAGCAGGTCCTTGTACTCCTTGACGGCTTTGGTGTGCTTGCTGAGAACTCGGAGTAGGCTTTCTTCAGCTGCTCCGCGCTGGCACCCGAAAACTTGCCCGGGGGGTGACATGGGGATGTCAGCCAGCCCATATCCCCCCCCGCCGGCATCAGCACCCACGGCTCTGGTGGCGTCCCCACCTGGTTGACGAGGATGTCCCCAAGGCGGTTGATGACGAAGTTCTTGTTGCTGTCGTGGGCCAGGGACTCCCTGCGGCGCTCCAGGAGCTGCGCCAGGAAACCGCTCGTGGATCTGGCTCAGCTCGTCCACGCAGGGGAAGATCTTCTGCACCGTGCCGGGGTCCACCTGCAGCTCCTCCAGCATGGCCTTGCGGAACATGGTGGCCATGATCTTCAGCGTGCGGACGTGGTGGATCTCCGTCTGGATCAGCTCTGTGGCGGGGGGGGGGGGGGGTCAGGGGACAGCCACCCCCACCCCACCCCACCCGGGTCCCAGCCTGCTCTGTGCCGTGGGGACAGCCCCTCGCCCTGTCCCTACCGCCCCCGGCTGTTCCCATCTCCACCCCCACCCATGTCCCCACGTTCCCCATCTCTGCGTCCCATTCCATGTCTCTGACCCATCTCTGTGTCCCCCAGCCTGTCCCTGTGTCCCATCTCTGCCCTGTCCCTGTGTCCCTGTCCCTGTGTCCCCATCTCTGACCTATCCCTGTGTCCCCATCTCTGCCCTGTTCCTGTGTCCCCCGTCCCTGTGTCCCCATCTCTGACCTATCCCTGTGTCCCCCGTCCCTGTGTCCCCATCTGCCCTGTCCCTGTGTCCCCTGTCCCTGTGTCCCATCTCTGCCCTGTCCCTGTGTCCCCCGTCCCTGTGTCCCCATCTCTGACCTATCCCTGTGTCCCTGTCCTGTGTACCCATCTCTGCATTCCCATCTCTGCCCTGTCCCGTGTCCCCATTTCTGCACCTCTGATCTGTCCCTGTGTCCCCTATCCCTGTGTCCCCATTTCTGCCCTGTCCCTATGTCCCTATCCCTGTGCCCCATTTCTACATTCCCATCTCTGCCCTGTCCCTGTGTCCCCTTCCCTGTGACCTCTCCATCCCAGTGTCCCCTGCCCTGTCCCTGTGTTCCCATCTCTGCACCTCTGATCTGTCCCTGTGTCCCCATTTCTGCATTCCCATCTCTGACCTGTCCCTGTGTCCCCTTCCCTGTGACCTCTCCATCCCTGTCCCTGAATTTCTGCCTCATCCCAGTGTCCCCTGCCCTGTCCCTGTGTCCCATCTCTGCACCTCTGATCTGTCCCTGTGTCCCCATCTCTGCATTCCCATCTTCCCTGTCCCTGTGTCCCCTACCTTGTCCCTTTGTCCCCATCCTCCATCTCTGCCCTGTCCCTGCGTCCCCTTCCCTGTGACCTCTCCATCCCGGTGTCCCCTGCCCCGTCCCTGCGTCCCCATCTCTCCCTACCCACGCCTGCAGCTCTGACCCATCCCCGTGGCCCCAGCCTGTCCCTCCAGCCCCAACTCACCCCGGCACGCCGTGTCCCCCCCCCGGCCACCCACCGTAGATGACGTCCTGGCGCTTCATGACGTCCATCTTGTGCTGCTGCAGGTAGCTGTTGTCCACGGCCAAGCTCCAGGAATCCGCCTCAAAGTCCTTCCCGTCCGTCTCGAAGTCGCTCATCAGCTGGTGAGGATGACGTCGGGGCCTGCGCGGGAGGGCGGTGGGAGGGGGGGGGCCTGGCCCCGCACCCCGTGTGTCCCCCCTACACCCCGTGTGTGTGTGTGTCCCCCCACGGCGGGTCCCCACCTTCGTCGATGAGCGACTCCACGGAGAGCGTGCGGTTGCGCATGTTGAGGGAATCTGTGGACTGGGACAGGATCCGCCGTATCCCCAGGGGAGACTCGTCGTTGAACGTCCTGGGTGGGGAGGGCGGGACGTGATGGAGACACTGGGGACACCCCCGGACCCCCCATTTCCACCCCACCCCCCCCCCCAGCTTACCCCGCGATGTTGGTGGTGGAGACGCTCTTGGAGAGGGAGAGGGAGGGTCGGCCGCGGCGGGGACCCAGCAGCGTCTGGCGGAAGCTCTCCGAGGGGTAAATGGCCGAGTTGGGGCGCTCCCGAATGGCAGCTGGGGGGGGACACACACAGCGGGGGGTCAGCACCATGACCACCCCACCCCCCCCCCGCCCCCCAGGAGGCACCTCAAATCCGCATCCCCCCAGCAGAGGCTTGTCCCTCAGCCCTCCCCAAGGGTGTCCCCAAAGCGGGGGGTGAGGGGGGTGTCCCCCACAGCGTTGACACCTCGGCGATAGGCAACGGGGGGGGGAAGGGCCGTCCTCCCCCACCCAGCACCCCACTCACTTTTATTGCGCAGCGAGACCGACTGCAGCGCCGAGCTGTTCTTCAGCAGCGCGGCTTTCTGTTGCTGGGGGAGGGAGCGGAGGCGTCATGGCGGGTGTCACCGTGTCCGTGTGTCTGTGTCCCCCCGTCCCCCCCATCCCCCCCAACAAAAAAAAAAAACAAAAAAAACAACAACCCTGGAGTGGCTGAGACCGGCCAGCTCGTGTCACTTGTTGCAGCCAGGCGGGCACTCACCTTCTGCTTCACCTTGGTGCAGTTGGGCAGCGTGTCCTTGCAGCGGTTGTGGATGGTGACGTTGCAGGCTGGGGGGGACACACACACAGGGAGAGGTGACGGCACCCCCCGGTGACACTGGGCAGGGGGGGGGACGACCCTCCCCCCCCCTTAATCCCGGGGGAGCCGCCGCACCGGAGCGACAGGAGCAGATGCCGGGGGGAATCCGGGCGGATGCGGATTTACAGCGGAGCCGCAGCTGCCGGCGAGCAGCTGAGCTGCCGCGGTGCCACCACCAACCCCCCCCCCCCCCGCACCCCCCAAAACCCGGGGGGACACGGCACCCCGTGCCAGCCCGGGGACATGGCACCGCGCCGGGGAGGAGGGGGGAGCTGGCAGGAGCCAGCGGTGCCAGCTGCCTCGCCGGGGACGTGCCGGCGTTGATCCAGGGCGCCTCGGAGAAACCGGCCCGGCAGCGCGTCCGCTCGCCCATTCCGCGGCGCCAAACTGGGACCGACGGGCCTCTTGAAACGGGGGGAGCGCCGTGCCCAGCCGGCAACGCCGCCGCGGCCCGTTTGGCTACTCACTGGGGCAGATAAGAGCCTCCTTGGCCGTGATGCTCTTGTTGCAGGCGAAGCACATGGTCATGCCGGAGACGGTGATGGTGGTGAAGAGGTGGCCGTTGGTGTAACGGGCGTCCTTGTCCTTGCCCTCCTTCATCTTCTCCTTCTCCTTCTCCTTGCTCTGCCCGGAGAGATGCGACGGGCGCCTGACGGGGCTGCGGCACGGCGGGCGCCCGGCGGCACCACCCGCCGCGGCCCCCGCTTGCTTGGGGACGCGGCTCATGGTCGCGGGGGGCTGGGGGGGACGTGGGACCCCCGATCCCCCGCGACGCTCGGGGGGTCCTGCCGCCCCGGGGAGGGGAGGACGGGGAGCCGAGCGGCTGGGGAGAAGCCACCCCGATCGCTCCGCTCGCCCGTGCTTCCCATCATCCCATAACCATGACAACCGGGTGGCTGCGGGAGAAATCCCCCCCCCCCCCCCCCCCCAGCACCGCAGCCGCCAGCCCCAATGGGGACGAGATGCGGGGGCCGCAGCGGGGGGGAGGTGACGATGCTCCCCGGCGCCCACGGGGGCTGGGGGCATCACCGGAGCATCGCAGCCGGCAGCCCTGCGCCTTCCGCCTCCTTTTTTTACCCAAAGTGGATATTTTCATCTTTTTCCCCCCCCCCCGAACGGGTGTTCGAAGCCAGGGATGGTTTGGGGGTCCGCTTTGGGGACCCCGGTGCTGCCGGTGACTCGCCATGGTTTTCCCCTCCCGGGAAAAGGGAGCGAGCCGGCGTTATCCCGAGCATCTCAAGGGAGGCTGCTTTTGCCTCAGACCCCCCCCCCCCGCCCCCAACGGCACAGAGCTGCCTTTGTGTGTGTGTCCCCCCGTCCCCCCCCACGGTACCCGGCTGTGCCTGGCACCGGGGCACCCGCCAAACAGCCCCACTCTGCGCCAGCCCCCCCAAAACGACGGCGCTTTGGGTCCCCGATCCCCCGTCCCGTGGCTCAGCGATGCCAAAGGGGGTCCCGGTTTCCCTCCCCGCTCCCAACCCCCCCAGGAGGGTGGGTGAGAGAGGCCGAGGGCCCCCCCCCGGGAGGAGCCAGGCAAGTGGGGAGGAAGGTGAGGAAGCCCACGGGACAGGAGTGGGGCTCCCCATACCCCGTGGTCCCCAGGGAGAGGAGACACCGGGGGGGGGGGGCCGCAGCCACGGGCCCCACTCTGTGCCTGGTGGGGGGGGGGACACACGCACACACCCCAGGGTTGACGGGGAGCCGGGGGGGATCGGGCGCTCACCCGCTCTCCGCAGAGGGGTCTCTCCACCTCCCCGTCCGCCGGGAACGGGGCGCAGGAGCAGCAGCACATCCCGGCCCCCCCGGCCCCCCACCCGCCTGGGAGGGAGCAGCGCCGCGCCGGCCGAGCCTCCGGCCACAACATCTGCCCCGCTCTGCGCCGCGATTGTTCCCGGCCCTTTTTTTTTTTTTTTTTGCTTTGCTTTTTCTTTGCTTTGCCTTTTTTTGCTGCTTTCTGCTTTTTTGTTTTTTTAATGTTATGTTGGGTTTTTTTTTACTTTTTTTGCTTTCCTTTTTTCCCTTTTCCTCTCCTTTTTTCCCTTTTTGCTTTCCTTTTTCTTTTTGCTTTCCTTTTTCCTTTCCTTTTTTTTTTGCTTTCTTTTTCCTTTTCTTTCCTTTTTTTTTTTCCTTTTCTTTCCATTTTTTCAGCCTTTTTTTTAATACTTTCCCCCCTTTTTTTTATTTTGCCTTTTCTCCTCTTTCCTTTCTTTTTCTCTGCTTTCCTTTCCTCCACTTTCCTTTTTTTTTTTTTCCCTTTTCTTTCCTTTTTCTAATTTTCCTTCTTTTTTCCTCCTCTTGTTTTATTTTTGCTCCCCCCTCTCCCCGGAGGGACCCCGCGGTTCCTCCAGCCCCGGCCCCGGCCGCAGGAAACCAAACCGCCGCCAGACAAAGGCGGGAGGCGATTCCTCTTCCTGCACCCGCGGCCCCCCCGCCACCAGCGCCCCTGGATCTGCTCCCCGACACCGGCTCCCACCCGCCCCGGACCCCCTCCCTGCCTGGGTCGTTCCCCCCCCCAGACACCCCCCCCCCCCGCAGCACACCTGGGTGACCCCCACCCAGCCCCCCTCCCTGCCTGGGTCCCCCCTACCCAGAGCCCGCCGCCCCACAGAACGCCTGGGTCTCCCACCCAGCCCCCCCACCTTGCCTATGTCCCCCCCACCTGGACCCCCACCCTGCAGCATTTCTGGGTACCCCCCACCCCACAAAGGCCACGCTGCGGGGGGCGGGGGGTGGAAATCGGGCGCAACCGGTGCCAAAAAACCCCACGAGGCTTCAGCATCACCCCCAGATGCCCTGGAAGTATTTTGGGGGGGGGGGGGGGTGTCACCATCAGCCCCTTGGAGAGCACATGGGTGGGAAGAGGGGGTTAGGGGGGGATTTGGGGCCCCTGAGGGGTTCTGGCTGCCCACCGGGGTGTGGGGGGGGAGCATTTCAGACCCCCACCCACCCAGCCCAGACGCCTGGGTCCAACCACGGGTTTGGGGGTGTCAGGGTGCACCCCACGACCGGCACAGGGGGACGACAGAGGTGGCAGGACACGAGCTACCGCGTGGCTGTAAATACCCTGGGGGGGGGGGGGGGGGGGGGCGTGGAGAACCGGTGGCCACCACCTCCATCCCCGTGCCCCCCCCCCCCCAAAAAAACCCCAGCGGCGGATACCCCAGTGCATCACCCCCAACCCCGGCGGCACAAAAACGGGGCTTGAGCCAAATCCCCGGCATGGGCACCGCGGCCTCTCCGGGCCGGGGGGTTTCGGAGGGTCCCCCCGCATCTGATCTCTGCGGCGCTGCCGGGAAGCAGAAAGTTTCTCCACTTTAAATAGAAATTGGGGGTTTTTTTGGGTGGTAATTTTTTTTTTTTTTTTTTTTTTTCCGGCGCCGCGGTGCGACGCCTACGGCGGGTGTATTTCTGTTGGCACCGACACGACTTCGCCCAAGATAGCCGATTTCTTTTCCTGCGTGAGAACACACCCGCGCCAACCTCCGGAGCTGAAAAACTCCAGCCAGACCCGGGGGGGGGGGGGGGGGCAGAGATTTTGGGGCGATGACAACCCCAGCTGCAACCGCCCTATGGTGTCCGTGTCCCCCCCCCCCCCCCCAAAAAGCCACCTGCGCGTCACCACCTCCGTGCCGGGTGTGAAGAGCTGGGGTCGGAGGGGGGGGGCAGCCCCCCAAAAAAGCAAAAGGTCTGACCTGGGTGATGGATCTGACCCCCCAACACGAAGCTGTGTCGGTCCCTTCCTTGCTGGGACAGTGTGTCCCCCCCCTTGTTGGGGACGGTCCCCCCCCCTCCGCGTGCCACCCTGGCGTTGAACAAAGCCAGCACCGTCCTCACCGGCGTGGCAACAAAAGATGCCGCCGCGCCGGGGCCGAAACCGCGCAGAGATGCCCGGCAGCTCCTTCCCCCCCCAAAAAAAGAGGGGGTGCCCCCCCCCCAATGCATAAAAGCCCTGGTTTGACCCCAAATTTGTCCCCTCCGCTGTTTAAAGCTGCTGGAGGAGCGATGCTCTGGAGCTGGGGGGGTTCAGCTAGAGGGGCGCGGTGTGGGAGCAGCAGGGACCCCCTCTCTGCTGTTTTGGGGGGGCTCCAGGGAAGGCAGGGGGGAGGGAATCCGAGTCCCCCTAAAAGCAGGTCCCACCCCGGGAGACGGGTACCCCACGGTTGTAAAGCCGCGGTGGGATTGGGGGGGGTGGGGTGTCCCCCACACACCCCATCTGCCCCCAGCACATCCCAGTTGGGGGGGGGGGGTCCCACGACTGTGTCGTGTGTCCCCCCCGCTGCCTTTGATGGGGGGGGGGGGGCCCTATTTCTAAAGCGGTGACAGCTGGGAGTGCTTGGGAGCCGTCCCCTCCCCGGGGGGGACACACACACCCCGACAGGCCCCCCCCCCGGCCAGGGCACAGCCCTGGGTGGGGCAAAACAGCCTTTGATGAAACTTTCTTTAAACAAAAACCGCCATTTCCCCCCCTTCTCCCGGGCCGGCACAGGAACCAACAACCACTTCCCCCCCTCCCCGCTACCATCACCACCTCTGCCCCCACCCCCCCGAAGAAAAAAACAACCCAGAGCTCAGGGCCAAACACTCCCAAACCTCCGGCCGCTCCCCACCCGGCTCAGACCCGCCAAACTCGGTGCATGCAAGGCCGGTCCACGCCGCTTCAGCCAGGGCAGTGCCGGCATTGGGGTTCCCCCCCCCCCCCCAAAAAAAAAAATCTCCCATTTGGGGTAAACTGAGGCAGGGAGGGGGAGCGGAGCTTTGCACACCCGCCTTGCACACCCACCTGCCTCGCACGCCCGCAGCAGCCGGCAGCAGCAGCACAAAGCCCTGGCCAAGCGCAGGCAGCGCCAGGCGCCAGCGGGCCCCCCCCCCCCCTTAACCACCCCCCCACCCCCCCCCTTCGCCCATCATTTCGCCACGGCAGCGATTGCCACACGCTCCGGGGGCAGCACGACGGCGCCCGGGCTCGCACCCTCGCCAAGTCACGGGCGACGGGGAAACGAGCGCGCCCCGCTTTCTCCGTGCCTCAGTTTCCCCGTCGCCCGGAGAACGGCGGGGCTTTGTCTCTACCTGGCTGCGGGCAACAAAAGCGGGGCGCGGGGGGGGGGGGGGTCCGGCCTCGCTCGCACCCCCTCGGCAGGAGGAGGAGGAGGAGGCGACTTCCTCACCCGCCGTGCCGGAGCTGGAGGGTTTCCACGCCACCAAAAGGCCTCCGGCTCCGGCGGCCGGGAGCGAGGGGGGGGGGGGAAGTTCGGCCGGGGGCTTCGCCGAAGTTCGCCGGCGGACGGCGGCGGGGTGTCAGGGCGGGGGTGGGGGCGGGGGTGTCGGGGCGCAGGCAGGAGGGTTATTGTCTTCCCGGGAGAGACCCCGCTGCACAATGGGGAGCGGCTGCGCCCAGGCTTGCGGAGGGTCCTCGCCCGCCCCCCCCCGCCCCTTCCCTTTGCTGGGGACCCCCCGAAGTGCATAAACGCGCCTCCCCCCCCTCTTATAAGGGCCGCTCAGCATCATCACCCCATCCCCGCAACCCCCTTCCCCCTGGCAGGACACCCCAAAACTGCAGCTAGGTGGGGATCTAAGGGCAGAGCCCCCCCAAACTGGGGGGGGGGGGGGTGGGGGAAGCGATCCCGGGGGTGAACGATGAACCCCCCTCTGCTAGATGGGGATGACACCCCCCCCTCTCCCCCCGCCTCCAAGAGGATTTGGGGGGGGGGGGGGGGGAATGCGCGCCTTCCAAATGAGGGGGGCTGAGGGTGGGGACACCCCGCTTTTGGGGGGGGGGGTGGGGTCCGCACCGCCCGCCGGGACCCACCTTGGCACGCTCGCTGCTCGCCCGGGCCAGCGACTCGATGCGGGACATAATCCGCTCCGCTCCTGCCCGCTCCTGCCCGCCCCCTGCTCCGCCCCCCCCCCCGACCCCCCCCCGGGGGCGGGTCGCGCGGCCGGCCCCGGCCTCGTGCTGCCCGCGGGCCCTTTGTTCCAGCCGGGGCCCGGCAACGCGCCGGATCGGGCCCCGGGGCGTCGGGACCGGCCGCACCGGAGTCACTCCGGAGCGCGGG